ATACTATAAGAGTATCTTCCAAAGCACATTTATTTTGGAGTATTTTTAATAACCAAGTGTGCTGCATAAGCAAACTTTAATCAGGTGCTTATATTATTAAAATAGGTATAAATTCAAATAGAGAATGCAATTTTATTATTCTTACAGTTATAAAATATGGATTAATAAGTAATGGCATATACGTATTATTACAGAAATGTTCTATATAAAAAATCTAATTAACAGAACACATATATTTATGTACGAAAAGGTCTGATCTGATGTAATCAAATCTATTTGATCTTGTAAAAGTATTACGAGAAAAATTCTGATTTGTAAAAGTGTATTCGCTTTAGACTCTAGCTGTACAATAGAAGAAACTAACGAAAATAAATCTCGAATGCGGTGACGTTGGAAAATCCTCGATCCTCTTCATCTTCCTTAGATCTTCCGTGTACCGCGTTCATCGATCGATCGATCGATCGATACTTATCTCGTCGATCGTGGAAGCTCGAGCCAGGCCTTGATAATGCCGCGTCTACTTACTGATTCAGCCAACAATTTATTATCGACTTGCCGGAAAAGTTATGTCGGTTTTTGACGTAATAAAACAGGTTCTGCTGGTTCACGTGTAAGTAGAAAATTAATTTCATCCTATATATGCATACTTTTAATCGACGTTAAAGCTTCTTCTATCTAATGTGACAAAATAATGAATAAATTCATTGAATGAATAAATTGAAAAATTATTAACTGTTCTCGTTTGGTTCTAGTATTATTGTATTAGAATTTGTATCACGAAGCGATACACGCTTAGATCGGCACGTATCATTCAACGACTGCCATTAGGCGCAATTACCGCGAGGGTAAGAAGGAAAAAGTGAATACTTGTACTCGCGAGCACGCGTGGGTGTTCCAGTCTTTATAGTCGTCCGGTGCGTGCATATACACACGCTTCTTCTTCTCGGTTTCCTCGTATTCTTGTTGCGCCACCTTCGCTCTTTCTCTTCTCAGCCGCTGTTGCTTCACCTCCTCCGCGGAGGACGCGGTACTGCTCTCCGTTAATTTATTTAAATTGCCCGAGTACCGAGTGGCATGTGGTACCAAACGATTCGAGCCGGTAAGCCCTCTTGTTATTTATCGGCGCGAAATTCCGTTTCAGGGATTTTCGTGGCGAACCAGCCGCTGCTGTACGTCTTCTCCTTTTAATCCTCGCGTTACACGCTTCTAGTAAACGCGCAGCGTACCACGTCATAACTATAAAACCGAACGATGGCAAATACGTGTCGAACCGAGTTTCAGCCAAGTGTCTGAATCTCATTTTCAACTTTTATTACAGGCAGTTGGGTTATTCGATTAAAAGTAATTTCTGTAATCATTTATTGTGTTCGATTATTATTTAATTCAAAGTGTAATTTTATTCTTTACACTGTCATCGATATCTGTTATTATAGTCTTGTAAATTCCATAAAATAGTGAAATCAGCGAGAATCATCAAGTTTTCTTTATAAGTCCATTATTTATAGCTGATTAGCATATTTTTCTATTCACGTTGACTCGCAGCGGTGCAACAACGGGTAAAAGAAAACGATTCTTGTAAATGTTTGTAATTACATTGTACGAGTTGAAAGAGGGTTATTTATTATAACTGTCGGTGCGTATGCGAGAAGAGGAAGGTTCCCGTCACTTTCTACTTCTTCATACTTCTATCTAGCCAAGCTGTCCCTAATGACCGCTAAATACGTCATAGCGCGTGATTAATATTCCAGACCAACTCCCTCCCCATCCCCCTCGCCACGGTCGTTGTTCTCGCCGCGAAAAAGTAGGAACGCAAGAAATGAGAAGGAGAAAGAAAAGCTGTCCCAGGCAATTCATCCTAACCGTCCCTTTCATCTTTTTATTCAACCACCCTTGTCTCCCCCTTTTCATCAAATTATTTCTTTTAACTATCACAGGATCTGGTTTTTATTTGGACTTGAAATTATTCGAATATATAATTGAATAGACCTGAACCGTAGCCAATTTAGTGTTTATCATCGTCAATCACGTTCCATGCAAATTAATCATACTCGTTCTAGCAAGACAAGTTTATTTTCACACTCTGATTATGCCACAATGACGTGGACATTGTATCTGCAGCTACTTTGAATATGTATTTCCATCCCGGACTAGCAACAGAAATAAAAAAATACGTCGAACTGTAATTAACGATGCATTGTAATTATAAGTCTCCTTATCCAGGGGTGACGAAGTTTATCTTGTCGAAAGTTACAGTCACACCCCCTGCCAACTTGAGCTGCCAGTAAATAGCGAACTTCATATATTTCAAATATATTAATAAGTCATAAATTGTTCATAAGAAACGAATGAAATTAGAAATCCGTTTAAGATCTACGTTTCCCGCAACGTTTATTACATCACCCATTTAATTACAAACAACATTTTGTTCTACAGTTATTAACAATACAAAACAAAGACGGAATTAGGAAAGGGAATTGTATTGGAATTCCTACGACCAGGCGACAGACGGATCCGTTTGATAAAAAGAGTTATTCGTATAACACTGTGCTTGTGGATGTCGTTAAATGTTCGCTAGGAAAATACCCATCAACGCTTCAATCCTTAACACGGTCATTAAGCGACCAAAATTATTACTCAGCGCTACTGTTACCATCGAGTTACGTACACCGTAAGCACATACAGTGACAGCCAAAAGCGATACACTGGAATCTGTTCAACCTTTCATGCAAACATACTACGAATTGGCAATTGGCGTAAATTAAAAAATTCATGTAAAAAATGCAATGTTATAAGAAATATAACATAATTTCTATTTGATGTGAAGATATAGCGTAAGGTATAAGTATATACAGTTCACTAGTATGGAGTTTTATACCGGCTATCAGTGTATTACGAATGCACATAAGATATTTGCTTTTATATGTATAATATACTCGTTTTTGACTGTTGCTGTACGCAGCAACGAAAGACAAATAAGACCCAAAGAATCGTGCGCACGCCTCAAGTTTTATTATTATAATAAAAGGAAAGAAAGTAGAAGTGCGAAGCACCAAAGGCGAGAGGTGCTCGCGAACTGTAAACGCTATACGCTCCCCTTCACGCTTTTCCACATTCTCCTGCCTCGTCCTTATACTCTTTATTACACAATGTTTCCCAGTCCTCTCTGAATCGCGCCTTTTTAGTATAACGACTTCCCAATCAATGCAATAACACGGAATTTACTACGAAGCGCTTGCAGCCAATACAATTAATATGAAATTTAATGCGAGAAAATTTGCATTCGCTAGGATTTCTGCGTATTGGAATATGTTTAGAGTCTAGTAATTGGAGAATCGATTAGATAAAATTTCTTGGAAGGATTCTTTTATGATCGCAATTCGAAGATTAAGAGTTCAATTGCTTCGTGCTCTTTACACGCATACTCAACATGCATTCTCTTTCACGCTCGCTATATTTATTCAGTAATAGTTTAAGTTAACACCTTTTTCTCCGGCAGCATCGTCGACGAAGTCTGTAACCTGTCCCAAAAGAATGTTGACGATATCTTTGTAAGTTTCTTCTTACAAAAGGAACTTTGATCTAACATAACAACAGAATAAATCAATTCGCATAAAATACCTTTTAGTAAAATCATTTAATAACGAATTACCATGTGATTCTTCCTACTCATTCTCATTCTATATACACTTGATATTTATTTCTAGTTGTACAATAATCATTACTTGTTTGATGAATAATTTCATTACGAATCGTTAGCTGAATTTACTGATCTCTGAGGATACCGTCAACGCGCTGGGCAGATTGTATCGTGGATCGATCATTGTGGGTGGGCCCTGGCCGATCGATCCGCGTTTCACACGTGGGACGTCGCGTCGCGGATCGTCACTGTCTCGCGAGTCGTGACGAGGCGCGTCGTCGCCCTCTCCCTATTAATTACCTTAATTGCGACGAACATTACGAATGTCTCAAAGGGGTAACCCAGCCGTCGCGTCGGCAGAGGCCCCAAGAAACGTTCGCAAGGCGTCCGGTTCATGTACTCCCGACTACCGTAGTGCGATATTTGCATTTACAAAGTTTTAGGAAAATTAAATAAATGAATCGTTATCAGCAATTTATTGCAAATTTGGGCTATGGACCAAAATGATTTCATTCGATATTCTTTAATTGTATAATAAAAAGAATTAGGAAACAAATTTGGATGTTATAACAAAATACGTTTTTTTGATTATGCAAATATTCTAC